GCATCATTCAGCTCACTATATGTCACTTGTAATGATTCACAGATTTCTACAATTGTCTACATAACAAAACCCAAGATAAAGTACAGATTTTTAGAATTTATATGAGAGTTTAGCATGGTGATTCAATTGTTTTGCTATAGTTTAGGCATAAAGAGCTAGACAATCTAATTTTTCAAAAGATGTCATATATAACATTAAGAAATGATAAAGTGTCTTGTAGTAAATCTAACAAAAGATATTTAAAACATTTATGAAGAAACTCGAAAAAATGATAGAAAAATATCAAAGGTGACCTAAATAGAAAAACACATTTTGAACATGTACACAAATATAATATCATAAAATTTTCATGTGTCCATAGGAATATAGAGATTCTGTTTCAATTATAATTAGTTCTGAACAAAAACTGAACCAAGAAGACATAAACTCTTGAATAATCCAGTAACAGGTAATGAAATTGAGGCAATTATAAAAAAAAATCTACCAAGTAGAAAAGTCCAGGATCCAATGGATTAACCACTGAATTCCATAAGAAGTTCAGGGAAGATATAATACCAATATTCCTCAAACTCTTTAATGAAATCCAAAGAGAAGGAGTACTTCCAAACTCATTCCTAGAAGCTAGTGTTATCCTTATTCCAAAATGAGAACCCAACTGAAAGAGAAAACCACAGGCCAATCTCTTCAATGAACACAGATGCAACAAATCATGAAAAAGATCATATGTTATGACTGAGTAGGTTTCATCCCAGGGATACAAGGATGGTTCAACATATGTAAAACAATAAATGTAATGTACCACATAAACAGAAGCAAGGACAAAAATCACACCATCATCTTGATAGATACAGAAAAAGACTGTGACAAAACCCAACATCTATGATAAAAACTCTAAAAGAAAACAGATATAAAAGGACTTTATCTCAACATGACAAGAGCCATTTATGATAAACCTATTCTCAACATCATATTAAATAGGGAAAAGCTGAAAGCTTTCCCTCTGAAATCAGGAACAAGACAAGGATGTGCACTGTCACCACTCCTGTTCAGGACAGTACTTGAAACATTAGCCAGAGCAGTATGGCAAGAGAAAGGAAAAGCTTACATATAGAAAAGGAAGAAGTCAAACTATCCTTTTTTTGCAAATGACATCACCTTCTACATGGAAGACCGAAGAAATTCCACCAAAAGACAAATTCAGCAATATAGGAGGGTATAAAATCAACACTCAAAAATCAGGAGTGTTCCTGTACACCAATAATGAACTCACCGAGAAATAGGAAAACAGTACCGTTCACAATATCATTGAGAAGTTAAATACTTAGGAATTAACCTAATCAAGGAAGTGAAAGATCTTAACAATGAAAACTACAGCACTCTAAAAAGAGGACATGAGAAAATGGACAGATAGCAGCCCATTTTCCTGGGAAGGCAGAGCCAATATTGTCAAAATGGTCACATTACCAAAATTGACATATAGATTTAATGCAATCCCAATGAAATATCAATAGCATTCCTCACAGAACTAAACAAAACTATTGTAAGATTTATACGGAACCAAAAGAGACCCATAATAGCAAGCAATTGTTATACTTTATATCTAGATGTCCCCTCAAAGCCTTATGCATTTGTAGGTGGGGCCTTTGGGAGGTGATTTTATTATGGGTGCATGATACTCATCAGTGTATTAGTCCACTGATGAGTTTATAGCTAAACATGAAGGTGAAGCCTGGTTGGAGGAGGTGGAACAATAGGGGTGTGGCCTGGAAGGTTTTATCTCCCTCCTCCATTGATCACTCTCTTATTCCTGCCACTATGCTATGAGGCTTTTCCCTTCTGCCATGCCCCTCTGCCATGCTGCTTTGCCTTGGAGTCAGCCAACTATGATTGAAACCTCTACAAACTGTGAGACAAAATAAACTTTTTCTTCCTACAGTTGTAGGAGTCTGATATTGTGTCTTAGCAAGAAGAAAGTAACTAAGACAGCAATCCTGGGTGACAAGAACAAAGCAGGAAGAATCACAAGCCCAAATTTCAAATTATACTACAGAGCTACAGCGATAAAAACAGCATGGTACTGGTACAAAAGCAGACACGTGAATCAATGGAACAGAATAGAAGATAAACAAGTCCAGACACATTAAGTCATCTGATCTCTGACAAAGGAGTCAAAAACATATCCTGGAAGAAAAATAGCCTCTGCTGGGGAAACTGGTTACACACATACAGATTGAATCTTGACACATTTCTATCACCATGCACCAAAAGAAAATCAGAAGGGATCAAATACAGAGATATAGCTGGGCATGGTGATGTACACTATAATCCTAGAACTAGGGAGTCTGAGGTAGGAGGATTGCCAGCCTGGGGCTGCATCATGAGTTCAAGTCCAGCCTGAACTACATAGCAAGACCCTGTTTCAGTGCCCTCCCAAAAGGACATAGATACTAAAACAATCTGCTGGAAGATAAAATGGTGCTGCATATTGTATTTTGTAATTGACTGTAACTTAATTTTTTCTTAGAAATAAATTTTTAGTTTACAAAATTAGTAGTATGCAATGACACAAGCCATCAAAAATCTCTGAATGGTTCTGCACCAATAATTTGAGATGTGTTGCTCTATCTTACTCAAAACTGATGTCCATGTGATTTTTCTTTTCCAAAACACATAGATTTTCTGATTCCTTGAGAATCTTACTCTTAAAATATTAATTTCATGTGGGATTCCAGAATTGTTTTGTTTCATTCTGGATATTTGCCTTGCATATATAAAATTGTGGTTATTTTCGGCATGCATTTTTCCAGAGACACATGTAAATGTAGTTGTAATTTCCTGTTGTTAATGGCACTGTCTTTAAATTTAGAGTCAGGTTTTAAGGTTGATATGTAGAAGTGCAAGAAATTGGATTGCTTTCTACACGATATCCTCTACAATTAAGTGTTAATTTACCTATTTGTTGCTTACTTATATCATATATCACATGGTATAGGAAAGCAATTGGATATGGTTTAAGGCATCTCATGGACTGCGTGAATGATAAATGAACCTTATGCTACAGAGGAATGAAACATATAAATTTAAAAAAATATTATCATTGTAAGATAACAAAACCAAACCAAATCTTCTGTCCAGTGCTTGCTTGGCACACATTTTCGCGAAGTTTCAGGCTGTGTGGGTAACACCAAGGGCACAAAGCTTGCTCAACAGCTGTATGTCAGCAGGGCCCCAATCTTCATAGGATTCTTCCTCTACAGATGCAGCCCAGCAGGCAATTGTGTTAACCTATGGTCTTGGAGTTATATAGGGAAATTAGATAGGAGATGACTTTTAGGATCTAGGCTTCTGATGTGTCCAAATATATCTGTTTTGGATCTCCTTTTCCCCTCAAAAAGATTCACTAAAAAAATTTTTTTTGAAGCTGGATTACTTGCTGATTTCCAGGGTCCTCATACACCTGCTACGTCTCAAGGGAGTTTTTTTTGGTATGATCTTTTAATCTTCTGGAAAGCTAACAAAATATTGCCTATGCCTGGCTTTCCATCAGAAACAATCTCTTTCCATCATAATGCTTTGGAAAATATTTTATCATTTGTATTGTGGAGTCATTTAACTCTTAACATACCAATTTAGTGTTTTCTATATATTCTTGCTATTTTTTATTTCACTCTTGGGGTGTTACATTTCTAAGTCTTCACAGTATCTTCTACTTTCTTACCAACTAGCCATTCTTGAACAATCCCCTAATATTTTGCTTTGTTCCACATTTCATTATCATGTCTTTAGAAAAGGGCAGATGTGAGGTGGAAGGCCGCAAAATACTTCCAAAGTCTTCTACTCCTTCCAGGGTTCTCAGCAGCAGACTCTCTGTCTCTACTATTATTTAGGCACCACTCCACCCTCATGCTATAATCATCACTAAGTTAGGGCTTAGCTGTGGTCTGGGACCTTGATTGTAGTGGTACTAACATATTAGAATAGGTAAAGTATTTTTCCCCTACCAAGAGCACCTAGCAAACCAAAAGCAGGCAATTGTGTTAACCTACGGTTTTGGAGTTCCATAAGGAAATTAGATAGGAGATGACTTTTAGGATCTAGGTTAGTTAGTGGAGTGAGAACAAGTAGTAAAAAGGTCCTCAAAGATGAGGTGATCAAATAACTTCACCGAAGTTACGAAGAAGCCCTAGTGGCTCAGTTTGGCTATTGCAGAGGCTGTGGGTAGAAGAGCATGGGGAAGTACCACACAGCATGCAAGTTATGGAGAGCGAGGCCGCGCTTAGGTATATGCAAATATGCGGCCGGCGCTCTTTCGGAAAGGCGCGGAGACCAGGGAGGCAAATCCAGAAGCCGAATCCAGGAACTATCCAGAGATTCTGACTCTTAATAACAACTCCGAGAAAAGTCCCAGAACTGTTGACTACGGAGGTCACGTGAACCGCCGGAGCCCACCTCTAATTGGCTGAAAAAGCTCATTCTCCTTCTCCTTTTCTCAAACGTCTTCTCGAAACTACGTTTCCCAGAGCGCCTTGCGGAGCCTGCTCATCCTGGAGAGCTAGATGGCGGGAGTGGAGAGGGGGAAGGACAGGCTAAATCTCTCGATTAAGTAATCCCGCCTTCTTGAGGTCGGAGACGTGAGCGTGGCCCTTTACTCAGAGAAAGGGGCCACCGCGATGTCTTCTGGGAATTGTAGTATAGCGGAGGTCCAGTACCCGGGGAAGAGCCGGATGGCAAGAGGCCTGGGAGGTCCGACCTTCCACGCTGGCTCCTCCCTTCCCGCCAGGTGGCGCTGCGCGTGGATATCTGCCTGTCCACCTGCTGGCAGTTATTTAATGAGGATTTTCCTTCTATAACCTAATATTGACCGCCCTTCAAGCTTAGGTTTCGATTAAATAAAAGCTAGAGAGATTTGCTGAGAAATGGCGAAGCCATGTAAAAGAAATGATAACGGCCCCAAATTACCTCCCCACGGTGTGCTGCTCATCGGACATTTTATAAGGTTACAAAGAGCCATGCCGCTGCGCACGAGGGGATCAGTTTGGTGTCAGGACTTACATCAGGAGGTAATTTCCGCCTTTCGAGAGCGTTATCTGGTCTTCCAGGCGTTCTCGTTTGATCCAACACGACCCTTCAATCCAGCCTTACCCATATTTCTGTCTTCAAGTCTGTTCTCTCTGCTAAACTTTGGGGGAGGTTGTTCTTATTTTACCAAGGGGAAATTCAGAGTGTGATGGATAGAGATGTTGAGCTTTCCGGGTTATACAGCTATAAGGGTAGGTAGAACTAGTTCTGACTCTTGTCTCAGACCGGTTCTGTGTGCTTCGTGAGGTGTTAGTCTCCTCAAGTTTTCTGTTATTTCCTGAGGTAAAGCCTTGCTCACTGTGACTGTTCTGACAGTTTTATACATACTGTATTTGTCAAAAGTGCCAGCACAGTTCTAGACATTGTGATGAATGCTGAGGACATGGTTTTAAATGGGAGGAGACATGATCTTACTCTCATGGAATTTAGTTTATTAGGGAAAACAGTTACTCATTATATCATACAAATAAGAATACAGTGTCAAATTGTAATAATAATGTAAAAGACACAGGACATTTCAAGAGGGAATAATAGAGAGAAACACACAGACTGAGAAATTATGGAAAAAGTGCTTGATCTGTGAGACCTGAAGGCTGAGAAAATGGAAGCCCTGTAAGAGCCAAGAGAAGAGTGGTTCAGGCAGAAGGAACAATAGTAATGGCTCTGAGGTGGGAAAGAGCTTGATATTTTGTTATTCAAAGAACTCAAGGGATGTCCTTTGTGACTGGAGCACAGTAAAGAAGGGAAAGAATGGGCCAAACTGAGGCTAGCCTCATTTTTTTCCCAGCCCTGCAACTTCTAAACTATCCCCACACTGGTGATAAACATTTTCAATACTCAAATATGACAACCTTACTCCCTTTGGAGCTTTGTATCCTCTACAAATTTAGTTCAAATTCCTCATTCCAGTTCTTAAGTACCTTCCTAAGTGGATTTATCTTGCTTTCTAGCCTTCCTTTTTTTTTTTCTCATTGAGTTTATTGGTACTTTTAAACTATACAGTGTCATTACATTTATCATTCGGATCTTGTACCTTTACGTGACATCTTGGTTCTCATTTCTTCCCCGTACCTCTGCCCTCCCTTTACCCTCTCCCTGTTTACAAAGACTTTGTTTCCATTTTTTCATTTTCTCATGTTTTTACTTTTCCCTTATTTCCTTTCCCACTTCTCCTACACCTTTAGCCCTTTTCTTCCTATTTCTAGCCTTCCCTTTTTGACATGTACTTCATCTCTGCTAGGCATGCCCTATCTTCTGTGCTTGCAGGTTAACTTTTACTTACCCTTTCTGTCTTGGCTGAAATATCACCTCCTGCGTGTCCTTCTCCCTTTGCACTCTCAATTAACTTATGGTTCCTCTAGGATATAATTACCACTTTGAATACTAATTTTTCCCATGGGGCAGTGGGCTCCTCCATTCAGGGACTTGTCTTCTATCTCTGAATTATGCAGAACACAAAGTCAGAAGTTGGAATTTTCATAATAAATATCTATAGAGAAAATGATTAGAGCAGCTAGACAGGACTAACCTGATTAGAAAGTGACCTGTGACTCCTAACCTCTGCAGAGTAGAGATTAGCATACAAAAGAGTGCAATGGACTGGGAGTGTCGAGTGCCTGCCTAGCATTCATGGGGGCCTAGGTTCTATCTCCAGCATGGGAATTGGGAAGGGGGAGAAAAGATGAGTAAGAAGTCCACACTAATCTATGCTTATTATGGGCCAGATACTGTGTCATCCATCGTGTCATTGAATCCTCATAACAATTGTGGTCTTTGTTTCTTTTTGCTAGTAAGAAAACTGGTACCCAAGACTTGACCAAAAAAGATTCAATTAATAATGGGAAACCTGGGATGGGAATCTAGGTCTTTCTGACCTCAAAGCTTGAGTCTCCTATTGTTTTTTCTGTTCCCTTTGCTCCCATTTTAATACCTTTTTCCAGCACAGAAGCCTGAAAAGTTTAAGGAACTGAACTCTGATGTCCTCTATTTCTGGTATGTCATTTGCACCTTTGAGGACACTAGCCTGGAACAGTTGTTATATAGGGGATGTACCTCTTCCAGAAACCATGACTCATATCAGTCTCTGCTTACATCAGTCTCTATAGGGCCTGAATATCACACAACTCAGGGAAGCAGAAAATCCAAGAAAAAGCTTTTGGCTAGTGCTGTCCAAAAGAACTCTCTGAGATGATTAAAATAGTCTCTCTCTAGGCTGTCCAATATGGTAAAGTCTCAAGATTCTATTAAAGACAGCATTTCCAACCTTCTCAATGGTCTCTGACTCCAGGCTGTCTTCAAGACATTCAGTCGGAGACTGTAAAACTGTAGGCTAGGTCTTCAAGGATCCTCCAGATCCAGGCTTTGCTCAGCTGTAGCAAGATCTGTGCTCAAAAATACACATCAGGATACAGACAGATGAAGTGCATATGCTTAGGAGATGGTCAGTGCGTTACTGATAGCGCCACCTAGCATCCTGCTCAGAACTTTGCCCAGAGCAGGTACTACATTAACATGGTATGAATGAATTTACCCTTTCTCTCTCAGCCTAGTGCTTCCTCACCTACTGTGATTGGCTTCTAGAAACCTTCCCTAGCATTTCAAACTGATAGCTTTTGCCAGGCAGTGAAGATTAATGAAACCAAGGCTTTATAACCATTACCTCCATTTTGCTTTTTTTTTTTTTTTTTTTTTTTTTTTTTTTTGGAAAGGAGTATCAAGGGGAAGTTGCAAAACCATTGAGTAATAATCTATTGGAAACATGCTGCATCCAGCATTTAAAAACGATTTTTATTTGGAAACTGTGTACAAAATCAAAGCCCAAAGAAGTATCTGCTACATGTGATTAGTGGTGGTAAGGAAGGAAGACTGGCCCAAGAGTCATCCTGGACCTGGACCTCTAACCAACAGGCTGTATGGCCTTTGACAATGTGTTCCATGACTTTGTGTAGTTCAATGCAGTATTAGACTCTAAAAAAAATTCTTTTATAGTTAAAGCAAGTATTTAAAAACTAGTGATTCACATTCACAGTCAGCCTGTATTAAGCAACTTTTGGGTGTTCATTTGCTTGAATCAGGCCTATTTTCATTATTTACTCTTTCTAACACCTTTCACTTAATTCTTCCATTATCAGTGCCTTCCTCACTTGAAAGATATTCACTCCTTTTTGGCCGTTTCTTCAAATTCTAATAAATTATCTTGGATTTCAGTCATTCAGTCACTGCTCTTTGGCCCAGCCTGAGTCCCTTTAATTCTTAGCAGTGTCAGCTCCCAGGCATAGCACAAAGAGGATTCCTGGTCTTTTTCTGTGCCCCTCACCCAGTACTTCCAGCCTCCCCAACAGAAACACAACTGAAGAATCAAGGTTGTATTCTGGCAGTTGTTTCTTTCACCACTAGATGGCACATGTACTGCGGTCATCAGGCTTTTTCGGCAAAAACTTCAGGCCTAAAAAACTCCATGTCAAATCCACAAAAGCTTTGATAGGAATTACAAAAGCACAAAATATGCAAAAGAATGAGATAAAAAGTTGAGGAAATCGGAGAAAATAGAAAACAAGTAAAAGAAGTAACTCTGGATGGCATTAGCTTTAGAACAGTGCCAGCAGAGGCTCACATACTTAGCTCCCAAATTTCTGAACAGCTGAACAGGAAAACTCAAATGGAACAGAATTCCAGAGCTCATACGAGAAAAACAAAGTACGACTTTTTAGGAGCTCAACTTTTCTTGATCCTGAGACTGGAAAGCTATTTTTCCTGTGGGTCCACTGATAGAACAGTGCCATGAATACAGCTATGACTTAACTGGAGTAATTTCTTATGATGTCCTTCTATGCTGGCTATAGCATGATGCTGAAGTACAGTTGAAGATAATCAAGCATTTTTTTAAATGGAGACATAACATTTGTACTTTTTTATGGGCCACAGTAGGATAATTCAATATATGTGTATAACGTGTAGCGATCAGGCCAGGATAATAAGCATTCTTATTCTTCGAATATTAACAGTTTCTATGTGTTGGGAACTTTTGTATTTCTTTTCTAGTTATTTTGAAGTGTATCATATATTTTTGTAACTAGTAGTCACCCTATGGTGCTATAGAAAGTCAGAACTAATTCTTCCCTAATTTGGTGCTGCTTATCTAACTCATTTCCATCTTCCATCTCTCACTGCCTGTCCCAGTCTCTGGTGATCATTTTTCACTCTGTCTATAAGATCAATTTTTTTGTTTCCACAAATACGTAAGAAATAGGAAAAGCAGTTTTATGGAATTCAAAACATAGGTTTCCAGAACTGAGTAAATTCATTATTTGCTTCTGTATTCTTCAGGAGCGATATTTGTATCCCCTACCCCAGAATTTTAGTGGAATTTGGGAAGAGAGAACTCTCCATGGAGACCATAGTCTCCAAGATGGCCTTTCAGTGATCCCCACTACTTGGTCTTCATACCCTGTCTAGTCTTCTTTCATGCGGTACCAGGGGTAGTCTGTGTGACCAAAACAGTATGAAAAAAGTTATTTTATCTTATTTCCTTCTATGTTATTTCCCAGATCAGTTTATAACTTCTGTCCTTGTTTTTATTTCTGTCTTCTGAATATTGTGTTATATATTCTGGGGAAAACCAGCTGCATGTCATGAGGGGCCCTAAGGAGAGGCCCATGCAGTAAAGAGCTGAGCCTACTGGCAACAGCTAGTATCAACTTGCAGGTCATGTCAGTGTGCTACCCTGGGAGCAGATCTTGCAGTCTAGGTCAAGTCTGAGACTGAATCCCCAGCTAACATAATGACTCATGAGAGACCACAAATCACATGATCAGTTAAGTCACCCCTTATCTCTGTGAGATAATAAATGTTTGTTATTATAAGCTGCTAGATCTTGGGATAATTCTACAATTTGGATAAAGGTCTTTTACATTCCTTGTGTTGAAAGCTTGGTCATCAGTGGGAGGTGGTGGAACCTTTAGGAGGTGTGGCCTCACGGAATGAAGTTATGTCCTTGAAGAGGATATTGGGACTGTGTCCCCTTCCATGGACTGAAACCTCTGAAACTTGAGCCAAAATAAACTTTTCCTTTTATAAGTTGATTATTTTGTCACAGTGACAAAAAGCTGGCTATCACAAATAATTTGTTATGCAGCAATAGATAATTAATATAGAAGTCAATAGAGGTTGCATCATGATAACTTTACATTGGTGAGTCAGCTTTATTTTAGAGTGTAAGAAAGAATTTCTGAAACAATGGGCTTTAACTTTGCTAGGCATTGGCTCCCATTCAGTCTGTGAATGTAGAAGGACAGAACTAGAGGGGTTCATATAAAATATCTGCAAAGAAGATTTTTTTTGTCTGCAGAAGGACAGGGGGGACTTCAACTGTCTTGCTTACTGCAACATCCTCAGTGCCTAGCACAGAGCTTGGCACATAGGATACTCCCTCCTAATCCTTCTTTAACAAATGAATGAATGGTGATCTATAACCTTGAATGACTCATTCTCTTATCTGTTCAGCCATCATTTATTAAGCTCCTACCATATGTCAAGTACATGGACTCTTGGACCGTTTGTGTCATATATAAAGTCACGTCTACCTTTCACCTTCACTGTACCTTTCCTCAGTGTTCTCTCCTTGGTATTTCTTTGTTATTTTTGTTGAGATTTACATGTTCTTTAGCTTCTACATTGAACACTTTTTCCTAAGAATAGTGTTCTTAGGTCATCATGACAAGTAATTTCTGGTCATCGTTTTTCCCATATGAGAACAAGAGTTGCTCAGGAAATTAGGTTTATTTTGTCCAATTTTGGCTCAAGGCTTGCTCTGCTGCCTTTTCTTCTTTTTGCTGAAAAATCATTTGAAATGGCAGGTGTTAAGTAATAACAGTTCAGGTGGCCTTTGATGACAACTTTCTAAGGTCTATACTCTCTGTTTCATGTCGACTTTGGTGCTGATTTTAACCAGATTTTACTGTGATAGAAACATTCAGGGGGCAAAGGAGAATAAAACAGTGATTTGCTTCAGACCTTGTATCCCTTGTATCTGTAAAACACTCCTTTCTCCTGGGCTTACTCAGCAAAACTTCATCCTCCTGCTCCCCACCATTATCACCCCTCAGTTATCACTTATTGATGATAAGTTGATCAATATGTTATCATTTATTGATGGGCACTGCATAGCCCTCACTGAGTTACACAAGTGTTATTTGCATTATCTGCACGAGGGACTGTGAACTGCCTTGTCAACTTTGTTGGTCCAGGTAGTTTGAGATACAGATGCCTAGATGAGATTAATATGCACATATTTTACTAGGAGAGATCACTTTGTGGAAGGAAATAGAGAGGAAGCTAATGAAGGCCAAGAGAGCCATCAGCTCCAGTAAGGGATGGCTGGAGGGGTTGAGTGGTTAGCATTCAGATTGCCCTTTAGGCTAAGGAAGATACAGAATAATAAAGGTTCTGCAAAGCAGTCAGGCAGTCAGTACTTGAGCCAGTCGGTCAACCTTCTTATCTATTAAGATGGAGTCCAACTTTGTACCCTATTACACTTAGCCGTTGCTGGTGCCTCCCTCTGGGAAGTGTGGCCAATGGATTTCAAAACACAGAAACTGTAATTCTCAGCTCCCAGCAGTAAGAAGTCTGCATAGATGTATTTTTATGGCTACAACATCAATATTTATTATCATTTCTTTGTAAATAACTGAAGTTTGACTTGAGGCAAAGACCTGATGCTTAACTAAAAGATTGAGTTCCTTGGTTTCCTTGAACTCGGTATGGCCCGGTGACTAAGTTCTAGTCAATGTGATATAAACAAGAAGTGTTATAAAGATCTGATTCTTTCGGGACGTTCATCCCCTTTTCTCTTCCTTTATTCAGAACAGTACACTCAGTGGCTGTAACCTCAGTAATCATTTTATGTCACAAGGTGATATGTTAATAATGAAAAGGCAGAGAGATAGCAAGAATCTTCTTTTCTAATAATTAGAGATCTCATACCAGTTCTGGATTGTTTACCTCTGAACTTTAACTTAAGAGAAAAATAAACTCCTTTGTTTAAGCTATTGTTACCTTGTTTTTGTTATAACCAGGTAAATGATAATTGAATTGGTTTTCTAAGCAGTGACCCAGTTTATGCCCATTTTATGAATCTTAAAATGATTAAGCGTTAGAATCCAAATTAGAGCCCAGGATAACACTTGTGATATCCTTAGCTGCAAATGATAAAACAGTGTTGCTTAATCTTCAGTGAAAGTAAAAATTAACCAGGGAAACTTGCTAAATACACAGCCTGCCAGGCTTCCCCCCAGAAATGCTCATTCGTTAGGTCCAGGCTAAGGCAAGAGAAACATCTTTCTCTCAAATAACCAGTCTCAACTTTCTTTATCCTCAGGGAAGAGAATAAATCTCAGCATGGGTGAAGCCAAATGACAGGTAGCTCAGAGTAAAGCGGTAAATACTTAACCTAAGAAAACTTCTGTGAACATAGGAACCATTTATGGAATTAAATTTAATCATTTATGGAGTTTGCAGAGTCTGGGCTCCAATTTTCATTAAAAAAGTGAGTACATCTTTTGTAGGATCTGCAGATTTGCATTGTGAAAAGCTTCCCACCTGTTCCTGATAGCTTTGATTCTTTGATAATTCATCTTGCGAGATTCTGGCTTCATAGGAAGGAGCACAGGTGTTGAATAGGTGAACCTGACTTTGGGTCTTGGTGCTGTCATTTATTTGTTGGATGGCCTGTAACAGGCTAAGTAAGCAATTTTTGTCTGTTTTCATCGTTTCAAGTTGAAAAAAATAATAAGGCTTACCTCACAGCGTTGTTGTGAGGATTAAATGAGATAATTTATGTAAAGCTCTTAGCTTTAATATCTTTGCATAAATATCTTTTCAATAAATGGCTATTGTTATTATCATACTCTATGCATACATCTTGCAAACAGTATGGGCACAGAGTTCTATGTCTGTGGGTAATTCATACAAATCCCCAGGACACCACAATTCAGTGGAAGCTGGTGCAGGGAGCTGGACTCTGGCCTTGACAGTGAGTGACCTACTTGTGTATTCAGACATTGCTGTTGTTGTTGTTGTTTTTTATTGTTGTTTGTTTGTTTTGTACCAAGGATCGAACTTGCCACCTTGCACTTGTGAGACAGGCGATGGAACCACTGAGCTAAATCCCCAGCCCTGTATGCAAATGTTGGATGAAGGTCTTCTAGGGCTTACTTCTGGTTTTTCCATCTGCTGCTTTCTATCTTTCCATTCTCTCCTCCTTTTTGACGAGTCTGCCCAAAGGTTATCTATATTTAATAGCTCCATTCTCATTTCCCATTTTCTTCTCAACCCATTGCAATCTAGATTTTGTTATCGCTGCTTTCCTGAAGTGATTCTCACCAAGGTCACCAGTGGTTTCTTCCTTGCCAAATCTAGTGGATATCTTAACCTTCACATCTCATTTGCATGCTCTGGAGCTTTGATGCTGTTATCTGCTTATGCTTTCTTTGAATTTTGTTCTCTTTACTTCCAGGATTCCACTGTTTCTCCCTCTAAATCTGTGATCACTTCCCTTAGATTTTATTCCTATACAGCATCTATACCTATGCCACCATCCTATACAGCTGTTTTCTATTTTTTTATTGTTTTTTGAGTTTTGCTATGTAGTCGAGGCTGAACTTGAACTTGTGATCCTTCTGCCTCAGCCTCCCAAGTACAGGGATTGCAGCCCTTGTGTCACCATGCCCAAATGACTTGTTTTCTATTTTGGTTCTTCATTTCCCCCAATTCCCTTTTGTCATTATTTTCCTTTCTTAGACTGGAGCCTACTATCATTGAACTCATCTAAGTTCTGGGTGAATCATCACCTTTCTTAGGATATGTGCTATATTGCAACTTTTTTCTTTTTTTCCCTTAGTGTGTTCCATTGTCTCCCTTACAGGCCTTCACAGGTGGCCTAGCAACACTCATGGAAATAGGACTGATTTCTTATGGATCAGGGGTAAGGATGACCTTCAGATATCTGTAATTGTACTATTCTTAGAAATAGTCACTGCATCCATTCCTACAGCTGAATTCTAAGACTATGTCTAGGACGTTGCTTCACTAATACCCAATATCTTTCAGAGATATCAGTTGACTTTGAAACTTGCTTTTACTCTCAACTTTCATTTCTCATTCATGAAATATAAGAGTTGCATTAGGTATCTTGGAGGTTACTCCTAACTCTCTGGCATCATCATGGTTAGCTTTTCCAAGACTTGCATAATGCCGGATTCCACTAATAGGAATTTGTCTTACAGAAACATCTTCCAAGTAAGTGCATAAAGATGTATGTACACGAGACTATGTAGGAACCCAAGTGCTCATCAAGAGGGGACTGATTAAATACATTAGGGTAGTAGTCTATGCCTGTGCTGCTCTAAGCAAACAATCTTCTGTTTGTTCCTCATCTATTAGCAAGTAAAGGGCTTGAGCCAGAATGCAAATCAATGACTTTATCAAGAGAGTCTTACTGAAAAAACAAAAACAAACAAAAAATATCAACTAAAAAACCATCAGCATGTGTTTAGATTCATAGCTGATACTCATTCTCACACAATCTCCTCATCTTTTTTCAGACAGTAACAGACTATTCCTGGGCCGGCACTGGCACGTGGACCACTTGAATAGCATTACTGAAGCTTAAAAATGAGGTATCTCTACATGTGTGGATGTAAAAAGGTACTTAAGACACTTAATCAATTTTAGGTTATAACAAAATATCTGAGAATGGTAATTTATAAAGAATAGAAGTTTAGTAATTAACAGTGGACCTCTTTGTTGTACATTAGTTTGCTATTCAATGGGTACTTCCTAGTAGAGCAGAGTGGATAGAATTTCTTGTCACAGTTGTTAAATAGTTTGAATGTCACTCCTATTATACCCTTTTCCTGTTTGATTGCTAAAACAAACAAAAAACTGCAAAGAAACCAACCAACCATATGCGCGTATCAATTTCATATTTAAAAACAAACTAGTTACAGAGAAAATATGGATGCTTCTAGAGCCTCTTTTTGCTGGATAACAAGTCTCCTCTTTTCATTTTTCATGAACATTTCTTCCCTCTATCCTCCAGCTGGCTCTGTGAACAAGGCAGCCCTCTCTGTCTTGTGCTTTGGATCTCTTCTCCTACAGATATACTCACAGAAAGTCATTTTGGTTCTCAGCCTAGTGATGAAGAAGGCTCAAGGGCCAGAGGGCTGATTATGCCTCTAATTTGCAATTATACAGTGATTTTTCACACTGCTTGTGGAATTTTGACTTCCTCCCTGTTTGGGTTGGAGACTTAGAAGGCTCTGATTTGATTGGAGTAGTATAGGCAGTGATTACCATAAGAATTTGGCATGTTAAATTGAATTGGAAAGTACTACATATTGGGCAACAAATGCAAATTATTTTCTTCTATTTCTCACTCCTACACAACTACATGTTTACAGTTTATAGCTGACCCTGGGTAGAAAGTGAAGTGACATATCCTAATGTCTTTGAAATAGAAACTGTTGAGACACCCCAGTGTTGTGTGTGTGTGTGTGTGTGTGTGTGTGTGTGTGTGTGTATGTGAGAGTATGTGTGTGTGTACTGGGGATTGAATCCAGAGCCTTCTCACTAAGCTACAACCCCAGCCCTTTTAAATTTTTTTCTTTTGAGAAAGGATTTTGCTAGTGGCTAAATTGCCCAGGCTGGGTTGAACTTGTAGTCTTTCTGCCTCAGATTTTCAGAGTACTAGGATTACAGGTATGTGCCATCCTGCCTGGCTTCCCAGTGGTCTTTTTAAACTCAAGATGCAAACAGGCAAACAGATTCTTCTGCTGTTGGAGGATCCATGGAGCTGAGATAGTACTGAATAGTTTTTTTTGTTTTTTGTTTTTGTGCAAGGCTGGGTTTCACTATGTAGTGTACGCTGATCATGAACTCACTGTGTAGCCCAGGCTGGCCTACAATTCATGGCAATCTTCCTGACTCAGACTTACAAGTGCCAGGATTATAGGCATGAATCACCATGCTTGGATCTGAACTAGACAGTTTTTGATTCAGGTGTTCTAGGCCTATCTATTGTGGTTCTTGTTTTTGTTGTTTTCACCATGCTGGAATTGAACCCAGGGCTGTTTGCATGCTAGGCAAATACTCTACCACTGAACTGCACTCCTAGTTTCCTCTAGTTATTTTTTGTGAAGACTTAAAAATTTTTGATTTAAAATATATTTTAAAATCTTATGTATGTATAATACAGAAATGTGGCTGACCTTTGTCCTTGATTCCTGGAAGATAACTCTAAGTCCTTGTAATTTCCTGAGCAATAAGAATGTTTTTGTTCAGCCAGGAATGTAGCACAGTGTTGCAGCACCTGCCTGGCAAGCTCAAGGACCTGATTTTGACTCTTGGTATAAAAAAAAAAAAAAAAAAAAAAAGTCTTTGCTATTTATCATGGGCCCTGATAGGTTGTGCTAATGAGATTGACTCAGGATGGGATTAGAGGGTTGAACCATGTGATAGATCAGCCTGACCTATAAGGAGAGAAGGAAGGGAATGGCCAGAGATCAGTCAGTGATGCTTACATAATGAAGCCCCAATAAAAACTCTGAATGCTGTAGTTCTGGTGAATCTTCCTGGTTGACAGTACTCCAAATTGTCACACATAAATGTGGAGGGTAATACATTTTGAGTCCATGGGAGATAGAAATGGGAGTTGTGCATTGGATACCCTCCCAGATCTTACTGTGTGTTCCTCCTTTCAGTTGGTTCTAGTTTTTATCCTTTGTTCTAATGAAACTATAATGCTAAGTTTAGCACTTTTCTGAGTAATTTCAGTGAATTGTTGAATTTGAGATGGATAATGGGAACCCCTGATTTTGTAGTTAGTCAGATATGAATGTGGCCTGAGGACTTCAGGCTGAGGACCTGTGGCTGGTGTCTGGTGGTAAGTGTTATGGCTTGTGTTTGGTTTTTTCTTTCCATCCAGTACCAGGAACTGAAATCAGAACCTTGTGCTTGCCAGGCAGACATGGTGCCATTGAGCTATATCCCCAGTCCAATGGCTTGTGTTTAGATGTCTCTTCAAAGTGTCATATGGTCACAAGTGGGGCTTTTTTAGAGTTAGATCTAGGGTGTGTGACTCTGGAATTGATTCATGGTGTAATGCTAGGCACTGAGGGCACTAGGATTAAGGGTGTGGGTGCTACTTTCCCTAAATAGTCTGGATAAGATAAAAGGAGCAGAAAGATGCTGTTAAGCCCTTGTTGCACTTGCTACCTTCTATCACCATGAACTATTGCCCCTCTGCCATGTGCCACCATGCCTAGGAGCCAGCCAACTATGGACTAAAACCTCTACAAACTAAGCTAAACAAGGCTTTCTCTAACTTTTGGTGCTGGGTATTTTGTCTCAGCACCAAGAGAAAAGTAACTAAGATAGTAAGACAGTCATGACTTCCAGGAAGATGGTGGAGTGGTAAGTGGTAACAAATGAGCCTCTTTGAAATTCAGAATTCAGACACTGGAATATAACAACGTAGGGAGGAAAAGGAGGGAGGTGAATTTCCAGGATCCAGAAAAGATTTGAGGGAGAATTGGAATGAACCTTAATGCAGAATGCACTTTATTCCTGACCCCTGGCTTGTAGTATGAGAGAGGAGGCTTGAATTTACAGATACAGTGAGGACAGGTGACTCAAGAAACCCCCAGGGAGAAACACATCAGAGGAACAGATCAGTGGATGCTGTGAACTACAACAGCTGGTGAGTGACTCTAGTCCAAGGGTTCCATGGAGAGGGTGTTTGGCCAGACACGATTTTAGGGAGGGGCCAACTGAACTTGGGACTTGGAGCAGCCATGAAATTCAACAGCTTACAGGATGAGGCAAAGTCCTGGGAGACATCCAGGGTAAGGGAGCTGAGGTTGGCCAGCAGGAGACAGCCAGAGGGTTGTAGGATGAACAACTCTGGCCCAGATTCCACAAATGTGGCCAGGATCAATCTGAACTTCTGTGGAATTAAAAGCACCAGAATCACACCCTGCCCTATTCCTACTGCAAGCTTCCTGGGATCATCCAGCACCCCACCCTAATCCTACTGCAGGCTTTCTGGGATCAGCCTGCAGAGATCTGGGCTTTGTCTTCTTCCTTTGTCTACCAGTGACACCAGAGACATGCCCTCAATTGGATACTACCACAAAACTATAGACCCCACAAGATAACCACAGGCTTGAAATTACAGAGAAGTATCTTTTTAAAATATTGTTTCTCTTGATTGTTTTAGTTTTTTCATGGGTGTGAACATTATTTTTAGTTTTTTGGTGTTGTTTAGTTGTTGTTTTTGTTTATTCCTTTTTTCTTTCCTTCTATTTTCTTTACCAGTTTCCCAAAGCTTTGGGTAATCTTCCTTTGTTCTTCAGCTTTGCTTCTAATCTCTTTTTCTTCTTTTACTGTTCTATTTTTTCTTTCCACCCCTTTTAAATTTTCTGCCCAGAGCAAAATCGATCTCTTGAGGGGATATTTACTGTATAAACATTTCTGAATCGTTTTAGATTTTGTTATATGACTATAAACCTTGTACCTATGGTTAAATGTAAGTTACCACAGTTTGTCATCTTCTAGACTATACTATTGTTTTTTCTGATTATACTACTTTACCAAAGGTGACAAAGTTGTTGTAATCAGTTGTTCTTCATTATATGTCAATAGTGAGATTGGGGGTCATAAACTATACCATAATCAAGTACCAAAGAACTGGGTGCTAGGCCAAAAGGCAGCAACCTCTCATTCCTTGTAGAGGCAGGATCTTGGGACAAAAAAGCCAGCTACACCCAGAAAAGTAGTCATTTTCTAAGGTCTTGATACTACTAATAAAACTAATAAAACTACCTACCATAAGGAATTTATAAACATCAATGCAGAATACAAATTAAAAAAAAATAGAAAATAAGAATATATAGAAGTAAGATGGAGCCCCAGAACTCCAGCTTGCCTAAATCAAATCAGAGGACATTCAGATGGAACAAATCAAAAGCCACCCAGCTGAACTTTCTGAAATAGTAGCAGAAGAAGTAACAAATCAGATGAATGAATCTCTAGAAAAAAAAATCAGAAGTAATTTCACAGATAACTATAGAGATGGTGACCAAAAATGAAGGGCATGGTTAGTGAATCTAGAGTAGATACAGATAAAAAAAATAGAGGAGCTTAGGAAAGTGATGGAAACCATGAATGCCAATTGTGGAAAGAACTGGATTACATGAAACAGATTCAAACAGATATCCAGGAAATTAAAAATTCTACTGAAAGTATGCACAGCAGAATCAACCAATGGGAAAACAAACTATCAGATTTAGAAGATATGTGTGGTTGGCAATGATCAAATGAAAGCCTTCTTAAAAATAGCAAGGGACCATGAAAATTCAACCCAACAGTTGCTAGATGATGGAAAGAAGAATACAGAATTGATTGGAATCAGTGAAAAACCAGAAGAAAGCACAAAGGACATAAAAAACCTGTTAACAAAAGTATCAGCTGAAAACTTCCCAAGTATGGAAAAATAATTTGACATAGAGATAAGTGAGGCATACAGAATTCCAATTAGCCATGGCCAGAAAAAAACTACACCAAGACAAGACCATCATATTAAAAGCTGTTAGAGAAAAGAAACAAATCACCTGTAAAAGAAGCTTATCAAAATCATAGCAGACTGC